ACCTATAATGGGCTTAGACTAAGGCAGTTAGATACTAAATCGTGTTCCCTGCTGCGATGTCAGTTCAGCCCGATAACTGAGACGAGATCATTCGTAAGTACATTGGCAAACAAGACCGGTAGAAGGAGGTACGTAAGTCCATGTGGGTGGTTGTCCAAATGATGGTCCCTTCTTGGGTCCTTATTTATATTACGGCACCTATTATTTAGGGTACCCCAAAAGGGACCATAATTTTGACAACTACCCATGTGATGAAGCACGTCAGGGCTAAAGAAGGAAGCGGCCCTCCCGGGGATCTCGGCCCGCCTGCGTCGGTGCAGCGGCTGCCGCGCGCATCCTCCCGAGCTTCGAGGGGTGCCCGGCTAAAAACGTACCCTTGGCCACACCCTAAAGCCTAAACCCTAAACCCTAAACCCTGAACCCTGAACCCTGAACCCTAAACCCTAAACCCTAAACCAAAACCCTAAACCCTAAACCCATAAAAGTTCCCCTCCCGGAAGAAGAAAGGGCGAAGCCAAGGGACACCCGGGAGGAGCCCGAGAGCACTGTAAGGGGTTTGAAAACATAGGCGACGAGGGTTCAGAGACACAATATTCCAAAGGCCATCGGAATTTCGGATCGGTGGCTTTGGGCTTGGTGGTTCTGCAACTAAAGAGTGTCGAGAATTCTGGGCAGGGCTTTGCAAGTTTGCCAGAGGACACCCCGAACATCCAGGCATTGCCTGAGAACCTCAGTCCCTGAACCCTAAGGACGAACAACTTACTCTATCCCCTAGAAACCCTACACCAAAGCCTTAAGCAAAACCTAAACACCTCAGACTAAGTCCTCAAGCCCCAGGAAACCCTTGAGGCTCAATCTCAAAATCCCTCAGATTCTCTGAACCTTAAGCCCCAAAATCCCTAAAGCCTAAAACCCACTAAACCCGACATTCCCTCATGCTACCACAAGTCATGACACCGGTTCGCTCCTGGAAGCTGGTCTCGGAGGAAAGTGTCCTAAGCCGCTCCAGGGTGGAAGGAAAGCCGTGGTCTTGAAGGCTTGGGGCTTAGGGTTTAG